CGGTAATCCCGTTAATGATCCTATAGGTGTTAGTTGATAATTGAATGGGGCATAGCCTGGTTTGTCTAAAGAATTCACAGATTAAGGGTTGGACGGGAAACTGAAGTCCTCTCTTTACAATGGACACCACGATAAAGGAAATAAAGCCTGACTTGCCCCATGGCGTGGTATCCAGCTCGGCTAAGGAAAAGTGGACATCGTCTAGAATGTGGTAATCTCTTCGAAATTCGGCCATGGCTCTAGGGAAGTCCACCAGAAATCAGTATTTGCCCATTAACTTAAAAACAAAAGTGCTATGTTAAAGTGAGCACGACAGCCTAGCTTGGCGCTATTGTGGCTTTGGTTAGCTCGGTTGAGCAAAGCCGCCCAGGGGCAAAGTACAAGGGTGTGTCTGGCCAACTTATTCAAGTCTGCAAAGTGGAAAAAGAAAGGGGGGTTAAGCCCAAGTGATAAATTGGGCTGAATAATAAAATTAAATTAAATCTAGCTCGACAAAAGTTAGGCACGTACTAGGAAGCGAAACGATTCAGTTTTAAAAGCATGTTCTGAGAACCAAGGTAAATTCAGTTCGGTCAAGGGGCAAGAACAGCATTGTAGCTCGGTTTGGTGAGCGTAGGATTTCTAGTCCGATTGGAGGCGGGCCTAAAGTCATGAACAGGTTCTTACTCCAGTCGCAGTATTATTTTGGATCAAAAACACAGTTCCAGACTGGTTCTTAGTCCCAGTCAGTATGTTTCCAGTTTTACCTATGGAGTTTCAAGGTTCTTGATATTCGTTCAAGCTTTAGTGTACATAAACACACATATTTGGTGATTAAGACACCATTATTTAAACATAAACAGAAGTATATCAGTAGAAAAGAGAAAATGACATGAGGAACTTACGAATTTAGGGCATGAACTCAGAGTCTAGTCGACAGAAGGAGCACTTGCACTTGAGACGAGCAAGACGAGCAATCCAGATACTGGGATTAAAACTTGACTGAAGAGGGTGAGGATTTGGAGCTAAAAGTGCGAGAGGTTTTTTCTAGAGAGAAGATGAACAGTGGATGTAACTGTTTGGAGGATTATGAGTTTTATATAATGAAGGTAGAAAGGCGCCACATTTTGAATTCTTAGGCAGTGTGAAACGGCTGGCATAGTACAAGGGGGTAATCGACACATGCCATGTGTCCCAATAAGGACGTGATGTCAGGCTATAGGACGACAGGCTGTGCGATCAGCGCAATTTCAGGAAGCCAAGCAAGTTTTAGCTTGGCTGAAATCGTTATTTCAACACGGTTAGAAGTCAATAATCCCATTCATGCTTTGCAGATGGAATTAAGGGGCAATTGAGAGGGTAATTTATGTGAATAGTTTTTACCAAACTAAGACCATTCGTCTTAGACATTGGGCCGAACTACAGGCCGAAGTAATTGTTTATGTAGCACGGTCCTAGATCATTTAAGCATCAGTCTAGTCAGAGGTGGGCTACCAATGGCCTGACCTAGCTATCCTGGACCGAGGTATCAGTGAAAGGAGGACCAAGTTAAAGGATAGCTCTACAAGGCATCATCTCAAAGTCAAGACTGACAGTGTTGACTAAAGTAGCATTGAGTTGTGTGAGCACGGTTAAGTTTGGTGCCAGCCGAGGTAAGAGTTGCGACCATCTCACTTAATTAGTAGTGAGTAGGGTGTTATCAGGATAGGCATTATCCTTGGGCGTGTGATTCCTAGGAGGACTCTGGTAAGGAGAGTTGGAGTCCTATTAGGATTGTGCCAGGTGGGATCTATAAAAGCTCATGACAGGACCTATGTACAGATACCATAATTTTGACTCTTAAATACACAAAGAGGTTTCCGGCACACCCCGCCGGCCAGCTCACGTTTGTGTTTACAGGGAGTAAAACGACTATGTTTGGAGGAGCGCAAACTTTATCAACAGGATTATATGAGAAGATTATTTCCTGCTCGTACATATTCTATATATAATTCCATTTGTAAAGGATGTGATTTAGCTAGATTCAATTTCATTCTATTACTATAGATTGGTTATTTGTATTACCATACTTAAGCCTTGGGCTTTACTATATAAAGCACATTTGTATGTTTATTATTCAATTTGATATGAATAAAACTATATGCACCAATTAGTGTATTAATGGATGATGTTGCATAATTTTAGAAATTTTGGATCTTTGTAATTTGTATAATGGGTGGGTTCATAGTTTTGAAGTAGCAATGTCCAAGTATGTATTGGTACATTAATTGGTATACCAATTGGTGCATATAGCACCACTAATTTAATATATATTCACTCATTCTCTGATTTGTTTATCATGCTATCAGAGCCAAAGGTGAAAATCATTGCTCCTTTTTCTTAAATCCGACACTACAAACTACGGTCTCGACCCTGACACTGCGCCCTACATAGTATCACCAACCATCACTTCTAAACATAGACTCAATATCCATTCTTTTAACCTGCCCAAAAACCAAAGTTGTCCAAATCACTTTCTGAATGCATCAAACTCTTCCTCGCATTCTCAAGAGCCAGTGATGAAAAACCAAGGAAAATTGACACAGCACGTGCCCACACGCGCTACCATAAGTTCAGTGCGTAATTCAATGCATAGCATGCGCTATCACATGCCTTAGCTATTGAGTCTCCCCTAATGCCAGCCTACGCGTCACTACACCATCCACTCGGCTTTCCCTAAGCCGCGTGCTGCCACGCTCGACTTCTACCTGAGTCGTTTTTTATTTTGACTTTCGTCTGTCTTATACAAGCTACATGCCTTCTTAGCTTCTGTCTCAATCAACTCTGTTATCGACTTATGCCCGGCTTGCCCTAACAGTGTCCCACGTTAGCCCTGCTTCTTGTTATTGTGAGTTGCGACTTCTCAACACTACTGTGCGTCACGCCCACTTATGCTAATGTGTATCGTGCCTTCTTTAGCCCCAGCCTGCTAATATCAGCCCTAGCCTCCAGCCACTATTTATTTATTTCTTTATTATAATGACTCGTGTTAAGACTCGACCCTTTTATATTTTTTTGATCCGAAATTCGGTATTCGTTGTTGTTGTTTATACTCCTTATTGTCTTATTATGATGTGGAATTGGTTGTGTGGAGTCTTTGCTTGTATTTTGAACAGGTTGGAAATTAGAATTCCAAAAGGATTTATACCTGTTTGTTGTTGAGTTCACTCGAGCGGTCGTTGGTTCCTCCCACTATCTATGTTTGCAGTCTAAACTTCTAGGAGTGGGGTGTTCTTCGCTCAAGCCATGGGTTTGTCGCTCGAGTAGTATTTTGTGTCTGAAGCTCAAGCTATCTCTTTTCAAGTCTGAACTTTCGGGAAGGGGTCATTGTGCGCTTGAGCTATGATTTGGTCATTCTAGCGGTTTGTTGTATCTGATGCTCGAGCAGTCTGTTGTATCTGACGCTCGAGCAGTCTGTGCATATATCAATACGGGACAAGATCTTTTCTTTCACTTTTTGATTTCTCTCTCTTTCTCTTAAAGGTAACTTTATCATATTTCTTCACTCACTCTCTCTCTCTCTCTCTCTCTCTCTCTAGTTCTTGTCTGAACTCCCCTATACACTCAAATCCGTTGGTCTTGCCGCCTTAGTGCTTTGGAGAAAAGTGTAAAGCTTGTAGAGGTGAGCATTCGAATAAAAAAAGTTCTAGTTTTTGGCTCTGTCAAACTTTGGGTCTTGTTCTTCTCTCCTTCTAATCTTGAGATATGGATGTCTTCAACCTCTTTGTATGATTGTTAGCCTTGTTCTGTATTTCTTTAAAGTGTAGTGATTTGAGAGTCGTGGGTTTGATTTAGGTTTAGTTTTGGGAGTATAAAAGAGGGGTTTTCAAATGGGTTCATAGGAAATGTCGTGGAAAAGGTTATATTGATAAGTTGGGTTGAAATCTTGAAAATGTCTTCTTTAAATGTGTTTTTGAAATGAATAGATGTTTTGTTGGAAATCATTAGTTTTTGAGCTAAGAACAAAGGGAAAGATGTTGAGCTTTTGAATATGATAATGTGAACATATCTTGATGATGAGAGTGAAATAGAATATGTATTATCACTTATATATTAAGATTATGAAATTATACTATTGTTTGGAGATTTATCTTTTGTGTAGAGATATCTGTTTTGGGCTATCGGTGAAAAATAATTTTGATTTTTGTAGAATTGTATGAGGATTAGGTTAATTAAAACTAATTACTCATGCTTTTTCATTGAACATTGTTTCATATTTATACATTGAAAATATATCGTTTTGAGAAAATGGGGGTGAATACCTTAGTGAATCTAGTTAGGAAGTGTGGTTGTGGTATTATCTATGTTGGCTTGTGGGAAAAAAAAAAATCTCAAGAGGTTCCAATTTGACAAGTCGCAATCAATACATATTCAAAATATCATAATTCATTCATCAATTTTAAAGAATTAAAAATCAATTTCATCTTTTCCCCAAATTTAACAACTAAAGTTTTCATAAATTTAGGGATTTTACCCCTAAATCATGTTAAATGCTATTTCCCAACTAAAATCATCATAATCCATAGCCATTAATTGAAATCTTAAGAAAATGTAGAGAAAATTTCACTTTTGAAACAAAATTCAATTTTGTAAACTCAAACATTAAATTATAGCATCAATGTCATAATAGCACCACATAAACATCCTCAAAATAAAGAGATACAAGATTAAAAGTAATCCTACCTCAAAGATAAAAGTAGAGAAGCTAGATCAAGAGATTCCTTTGAAAAATTCAAAATCCAATCGGTCAAAATGTTAATCTTCACTTGTTCTTCATCTTTAATGCAAGATCTATGTTGTATTCTTGGTGAAAAATAAATGAAATCAAGGTTTAGAGATCTAGGATTTTGGGTATGGAGGAGAGGAAAAGAAGAGAGGAAGAAAGAATGAAAAGTTTGAGCCAAAAAGGAAAACAAGAATGCAAGGGAACAAATGGCATTAGCATTAATATTAGATACAAGATAAGCAAATCTAGAATGTAATTTATCTTTATAATTGTCTTATTTTTCCAATTTTATGGAAAAAGTAATGCCCATGTAGGATATATAGGTTCCCCCAACAATATGCCTATCATCAATTCTATCTATACCTGTCTCCAGAAAGTTCATCAATTCTCTCTCCTATATATGTATATGTACATATACATATATAGGAGAGAGAATTGATGAACTTTCTGGAGACAGGTATAGATAGAATTGATGATAGGCATATTGTTGGGGGAACCTATATATCCTACATGGGCATTACTTTTTCCATAAAATTGGAAAAATAAGACAATTATAAAGATAAATTACATTCTGGATTTACTTATCTTGTATCCAATATTAATGCTAATGCCATTTGTTGCCTTGCATTCTTGTTGGCATCATTGGTTCCTATCCAAACTGATTAAGTTCATAAAAGTTTTTTGATTTTCAGTTCAATTTTATGCAGAGCCATAATGCTAACAGCACATTGTATTCTTATAATTACATAGATGGCTTCATTCTTCAATGTATAAGACCTCAGATGGCTCCAAGGAAATTATCTGAGTGAGCTGCAATTGTGCCTTGGCATCTGTGCTTGCTTCACAAATGTTGTTGTGGGCCAACTACTTATTAATAGTATGAGGTACGTAAGGAGTTTCAATATCTGAAAATCATGGTATAAGTTTGTTAAAATAAGATCATTACATGTTTAGAATCTTATCTCTAACAAAGGCAAAACCAAGATTTGCATTGCTTTGTAATTAAAGTCCTTGCATATTTATTCTTATTTGAATAGCTAGATTATTCAGCATATCTCTATCAAAAAGAGAATGACCATTTTTTTTTTTAATTTAGAATTGGATGATTCAGGTATATAATCATCATTTTGGTGAAGATGATTGATGACTTGATGAAGCTGAAGAGAGCTGTGGATGAAGTTATTTTTACAGAATTTGGAGAGCACATTGAATATTATTATTTTTATGATTTTGTATTGTCATATTGTATTTAAAGGGGTTTTATTTATTCATTTATTTATTTTATGGAAAATTGAAAAATGAATGCTCATTCACATTATGGTATATATTTTGAGAATGGTGATGGATGATATAGGTTTGGTTTGAACAAAAGTCAAAAGATCATTAATTATGATTTTTCATTTTTTTTTTTTTAAAAATGAAAGAAATGGTGGCGTTTTTCTTAAAAACGTCGCGAAATGTCGTCATTATGACGTCAGAGATAACTCCTTTAACGTGCATAGGTAACGGCTGTAAAGAATTAGTGGCGTTTATAAAACGTCGTCTAAAGTCTTTAGTGGCGTTTTTAAAACGTCACAAAGATACAACGACGGCCGCATCATCGACGAATTTTATAAACGTCGTTTTATCTTTTTGCGGCGTTTTTCTAGCCTATAAAACGCCGCTAATTCCCGATTTTCTTGCAGTGGATTATACAGATACAGAGGTTATGCGCACTCTCACACAGCACTCAGCACTCACCCCTTCTCCTCCGTCGAACCCATCCTCACCGGCGGTGACCCACTGTCGATACAAATTCTGTGTACTTCGCTACTATATTCTTCTCCTCCACCTCACCGAACCGTTCGCAACGGCAAACCCTCTCTACAGCACTCCTCAAATCAAACCCATCTGTTTGCCCTCTTTCTATTTACCCTCCTTGAGAACCAGATGTTAGTCTTCTTCATTCCCTCTGTCTCTCTGTAATTTATTATTTGAGCTTCAATTGAACTTAGTCTGATAAGTTTGTCTCTGTCCTCAAGATTATTTGTTAATTGACAAGATTATTTGAGCTCAAACATACATACAATACCTCTCATTTGTCTCTTCATTGCCTCATTTTTTGTTAATCGCAAATTAGATCATATCTGGATATAATAAATGATCAAATCTGTCCTTCACCAAGAAGACAGACAAGTAGAAGAAATTACATCTTAAGTAGATAAATGGGCCTTCACCGATGAAAGATATTACATCTTAAGTAGAAACTTGGCCATCTTAAGTAGAAGACAGATAGATTTGCTGCTTTATTGAGTACCAGTTTCTATAGATACTGGATTCACACAATGAAAGGTAGGCCTCATTCCCAACATTAGAGCCTATTTAGACTATATAGTGACAGATTCTAAACACTGGTGAAAAAATAGATTTTAATATATATGACAGAGTTCCAAGATATACATGTAGAAGTAGAACTAAGAGCTTATGATGAGAGTAATTTGGCATACCAACAATTACATAAACTTCATAAAAAGTGAAATACACATGGAAATATGTAATCCATGAATGCTATTCACAATAATGAGGTTGTTAATTTTTTGTTAACAACCTTATTATCTGTCTATGTATGTAATGGATTATTGATTATGTTTGATTGAGCTTGAAACAAGTCCTCTTCCCAAAAATGTGTGTTTGAAATTTTTTAAAACTGAACTTAGTCTCTATGTTTTTATGTTTGGATTTTTTTTTTCAAACTGAAATTATGTTTTTTTGTGTCTAAAATAAAGATGTAATTTATGTAGTTAAGATTTTATTTATATGGGTTTTCAGTTGCTTTTTGATATGGATATGGAACTTGAGAATGATTGTGCTTGGAAGCCAAAACAAGGAATAACATTTGATTCTGAACAATGTGCATATGATTTTTATAATACATATGGAGGAAGAATGGGGTTTAGCATAAGAAGGGATTATTGTAGAAAGAACAAGTTCACTAACCAACTTATTTGTAGACTTTTGGTTTGCAACAAGGAGGAATTTTGAAAGATTGACAAGCGAGACCCATTGGCAAAAAACCCTAGAGCTGAAACTAGGACCGGTTGTGAGGCTCGACTTTATATTAAATTAGATGAGGGTACTGGGAAATTTGTTGTGACTGATTTCAAAGAAAAACACAACCATGATCTTGTATCACCCGAGTGTGCCCACATGTTGTCGTCACAAAGAAAGATATCGTCTACCCAAGCAATTGAGTTAGATTTGGCGGCACAATCTGGTCTTCGTTTAGGCCAGTCTTTTGAACTCATGGGTAGAGAAGCTGGTGGAAGACAATGTCTTGGGTTTATGAAATTAGATCAAAAAAATTATTTGAGAACCAAAAGACAACAAAGTTTAGCATATGGGGAAGTAGGCAATGTGTTGCAATACTTTAAAGAAAACTCTTTGCAGAATCCTTCCTTCTTTTATGCTTTTCAATTAGATAATGAGGAGCAAATAACCAATATGTTTTAGGCCAATGCACAAATGATCATGGATTATGCCCAATTTGGTGATGTTGTCACATTTGATACGACTTACAAGTTAAACAAAGAACGTAGACCCTTTGCATCTTTTGTGGGATTCAACCATCATAGGGAAATAGTTATATTTGGTGCTGCATTGTTGTATGATGAGACCACCGAATCGTTTGTATGGTTATTTGAAAATTTTCTAGAGGCTATGTCAAGAAAGGCATCAAAAACTTTGTTCACTGATCAAGATGCTGTAATGGCTAAAGCCATACCCATCGTTATACCTGACACAAGTCACCGATTGTGTACTTGGCATTTGATGCAAAATGCATTAAAACATGTTAATTGTTTGTTCCAAGATAAGGGGGTAAAGGGTGTACTAAATAAGTTCTTCTTTGACATTGAAGATGCAAATCAATGGAAGTTAGAGTGGGCGGAAATGCTTGATAAATATGATACGTATGAAAACCATTGGTTGAAATTGACTTTTGCAGTGAAAGAAAAATGGGGCTGGCCATATGTTAGATCAACATGGGCTGCAGGAATGAGTACCACACAATTTAGTGAATCTTTTAATACTTTTTTGAAGGATTACATTTGTTTTGATTTTAACTTAAATGAATTCTTCATGCATTTCAAAAGGGTACTTTACGAGAAGCGATACAAGGAGTTAGAAGCAGGATATGCTTTGTGCCAAAGGTTGCCAAAGTGAAAGCAACAATAAGAATGTTAATTCAAATGGGTAATATCTACACAAAAAAGATCTTTGAGGAATTTTCAAATGAGTACTTTCGATCCATTAAATCAGACACAGAAGCAATTGAATATGGCGAGGCCAGTACCATTTACACAGTTGTGGATGTTGGTAACAAACATGCAAGGAAAGTGAAGATGGAGAGGGATGGCTCTTTGGGTTGTAATTGTACAAAGTTTGAAAGGGAAGGAATCTTGTATTGTCACTCGTTGAAGGTTATTAGAGACATATTGAAGATGAAAGAGGCTCCTCCACAATACATTCTAAAGAGGTGGACCAAACAAGCAAGAGCTGAAACTGTGAACAACATTAAGGGGAATGACATTCAAGTAGATGTGAAATTCCAACAAGCCTCGCGGTATAAGACATTGATGACCGCATTTAGAGCACTAGCAAGTAGAGCTGCTGAAACCGAAGAAACTTATGATTCTTGTATTGCACATCTTGCTACATTAGGTGCAAATGTTGAAGACAAGTTAAGTGCTCATTTTGGTGTTGGAAATGAAGTAGGTAATGATGATGACACCAAAAGCTTTGACGTGGATTGCGAAGATGTGAATCATGTTGTACAACCAAAAGGATTGAAGAAAAATGTGGCAACTAGTAAGGGCAAAAGGAGGGTAAAAGGTGGATTCGAAGCGGCGTTGGTAGCGAACTCCAAAAAAAAAATCTCATACTAACAGCTTGGCTTCGTCACAATCTATTGCAAGTCTAACAGTTGCACCTTCTTCATTATCTGTTAGAGGAGATATCTATGTTTGTCAACATGTTCCTCCTCTTCAACCTCTTCTTCCCCTTCATCCTCTTCCTCCATCTTTGCCCATGGGTGGTAATTATATTCCTCCGCCATTGATGTATCCCACATATCATGTAAGTGTTAGTTTAACATTGTATTTTTTGTGTGGATATAATATGTGACGCAAACCATGATTGCGAAGCCTAATATATGACATTGTTGTAGGCGAACAATTTGCGGGACATGTATGTAGTGCCAAATTATTTGCCAAATTCAATGTCTCAACGGTATTCTGCTGGATCAACATTCCAGTCACTACTTCAAGGTTTATGTGGATATGACATTGGGTTTTGATATTCTCAAGAATCAACTACTCCAATGTGTAGTCAGGTTTGTCCTTGCTATCTTTTTAATTTATAGTTGTTGAAAATTCTGTCATACCATGTATTCACTTGCTCAAAAATTTGTGTTTTTCCCTTTTAGGCTATGGACAAGTAGAAACAGAAGCAAACTGATGCTAAAATTGGGCTGAAAAGTGAAGTCATAGCCTCTGAAATTGTGAAGCAAACTGCTGCTGGAAAGCGATGATTAAACTGCTGCTGCTGGAAAGTCATGGACCAATGTAAACTGCTGACTGAATGTGGAGGAATGTGTGTTGAAATGTTAATGGATTGTATGTGTTAATTTACATGGACCAATGTAACAATTTTGATAGACCAATGTTTTAATTTAACTTGTATGTGTGTTCAAAGCAAACTGTTATGGTGTACATTTGATCTAGTTTTTTATCTGGTTCTGCATGATTCTGCTGGTATGCACATGATTCTGCTTGTATGCTTCTGATATGCTGTACATTTGATTTGGTTTTTTATCTGGTATGCACATGATTCTGTTTTTGTAAATTCATAAACTAGAAGCTCTGAAATCATGTCATGCAGAACCAGCATACCAGTTTTGATCCTTATTTTGATCATTCTGGTGGTATGCACATGATTCTGGTTTTTTATCTGGTTCTGCATGATTCTGCTAGTATGCACAGGTATGGTTCTGTAATGGTTCTGCAAAGGTATTCATTGCTTCTGGTATGCTGGACACATGGTTTTGTAGATGAACACCAGCAATGATCTTGGCCAGACCAGACAATGTGAAGTGTGTGAAGTGTGAAGTGTGAAGGAAAAAAAAGGAACAAAAGGAAAAGGATGTACAGATACAGAAAAAGTGTGAAGTGTGAAGAGTGAAAAAAAAAAAAAGGAACAAAAGGAAAAGGATGTACAGAAATGCTC